GGGGGGGGGGGGGGGTGCTGGTGGAATGTTGAGGCTTCGAGCTGATCGGTGCATTATAGTAATAGGAACAGAAATAACATTATCTACGAGCGAATTAATCTTAGGGTTTTGGTAAACCATACGTGTTTTTTTTAAAACTTTTTAAAATTCCCTTAGTTTTCCGCGGGCACAGTCTGTCTAATTTTAGAACAATAAATCACTGACAACCGAAAATACTGTCGAGGGAAAGATTTAAAAGTAAAAAATATATACGTTAATTTAAGGATTTTTAAAAGTTTTTTTAGCTATGAAGTGGTTGGGAAGGGGAGATGAAACCACCCAGGCATGAAAATCGTTGGTTATAGGCCAATAACACACTTTGGTTAACCAAAAATCCAGTTCGATTATTGTCGTAGTTCCAGTTGATTCCAGTAACAGGAAATACGCTGGACTAGGGAAGGAACCTGTACTGCATGCACTGATGAATTTTATCAGAGTTTGAAGGCAGTGTATTGGGGGGAAGTGTACAACATTTCGCTGGGAATAATTAAATATATATTTAACAGCAAGATGTGGAGGGCCCATTTTGTAGAATAAACAAATGAGTAGTTGTGAACCCTTTTATTCTTTTCTCTCTTCTTCTCTACACCACCATAAAATTAAGAATCTTACGCCACCATTCGTAACCTATTCCAAGGGAGATTTTAAAAATGGTAAGTTGTGAATTGAAATATACTTATCGTTGTCGGTATTCGTGGTTGGTTGAGGTTCCCTTCGTAGTTTAAGAACTATTTTAACAATAATCATGAAAATGCACAACATAAGCCTTTGAAGAGGTTGCTGTCGAAAGGACCAATAACAGTGACCTCCACCTTACTCCAACTCCTTTCCTCCCCTTGCTCTTTTTCTTCCCGCTTTTCCCGACTACTTATTGTTGACTAACGAAACCGACTCGCAGGCTTCACGTACCAGTCAACCTTATTCCGTGGAGATCTACTAGAGGGTACATCTTAAGGCAAACGATAAAACTTAACTATGAGTGTATTAACTACGATGAATAACCATATCCTTTTATGTGAGAGGTAATCTTTTTAAGTCACGCAACGAAATAAATGGCGACGAGACTGTTCATTTAACCGGAAGTTGTGGCTCCTCTCCGGAAGTTGAATGAAAAAAAAACCGTGCGGTATCTTATCATTACCAGTCCCTCTCCATAATTATCAAAGAGGTAAGGGGTTTAAAATGGCGAACGAAATTTTCGAAGGCGAAAGTTTGAGCCTAGAACTAACTCGTTTTCTGGACAAAAATGTTGGAACAGAGAAATCATCGGCAGCTTCCATTAACTGTCTTCTAAAAGATGTTTTGAAGAAGAAGAAATGTTTGGAAACGGAGGTAAGCGACCTTGGTTAAAACAACATTTTTGGTTTATCCTTTCGATCCACCTTTTCAATACTTCACGTGTAAAGAGTTTGAAACTTAGAGCTAATGTAAGCTTGATATGACTAAGGAAGGAATTCAATTTAGCACTAAAAGTAGTATGTGTGAAAGGATGTCGTCTTCACCAAGGGAATTCTATTTCTGCGGAAATTAGAAATTAGTTATTGAAGGAAAATTGATTGCCGTCTTACATATTTTAAAATCTTGTTATAAAATAATCATATTTCCATGATGAATGGATAATGAAAGGTCAGTTGTGGTTTCGATGTAGCCTTTTCCGTGTGAAGGTTGCTTTATTCTCACATTTGTCAAAGAATAATTGGGTAAGGCCAATTAAAGGATATTTGTTGATATTTCCGTTTGTGTCTTTTCAAGCCGAAGCTGACCACTTAACCTAAATCAATTAACAATTTGAGGGAAAGTATGTCAATTATTCATGATGGCATTCTTAACTTACAACAGCTGTCATCAACAATATTATTTTGCTTTTAATGAGATCTATTGTATTCTTCAAACAGAACATGTTAAGCACTTCCAGTTTAGACGTATGCATGTTAGTCTTTGTTTTTGTAGGAAGTAGACCACCAGGTTATAAATTTATAGTAATTAATATTTATCAAAGCTGTATGGAAATGACAGTATGTGTTAATTATCTATAACAATGGAGATCTTATTTTAAGCTCTCTGACTAAGCTTGTTATGTGTCTTATGTGATAATTGAAAATTTTTAACATTTAAGGGGAACATTCCATTTACATACTACATATTTTGGCCATACATGTTTTTTAGGAATGTTCAGAATTTCTTTTTCCCAATAATGCCTGTCTCTTGCTGAAAAAATTGATCATCTGCTTTCACAATCAGGTTCAAAACATGAACCTAAGTTAATGGTCTATATTTAGCTACCATGGGTTTTCTGTACAGCTTATAGATTGACCATTCAGACTAGCAATTACATGGTCATGGGCCCAACTCCTGTTGGTAGGAAAGGAAGTTACTTTCCAAGTATACCTGTATCAGTGATTGAAAATGTCATTCTATTTGTATTGTTACAAGGGTGAACAAAGTATAGTCTGAACCCTTTTACCCAAGACTGACTTGCATCAAATTTCTCTTTCCAATAGCACCCCAGAATCACATCTTAAGGTCTTGAGAATGAAGGAAATGATTACCAACTAAGGATAAAGAAGCTCTTGATTACTGAACAAATTCCCCTTGTCAGTATCTTAGGAAATGTGTTGAAAACAGTATGGAGAATATATATTTATTTATATATATATAATATATATGCTAATATAAGGGTGTAAGGGGTTAAATCACAGACCTTGGTGTCTAATTTTCCATTTCTCCATAATTGAGTTTCAGAGTACTAGTATATATGTTAGACATTCTGCATATTGCAAGGATCAGCGGTATTGAAACCATAGTGCATGTAAATAAGAATATGAAAGGATTCTAGCCTGGCCATGTAGTAAAGAAAGGTGTTATTTGTTTCCTCATCCTTAACATCTTTTATTGATTATAAGTAGATTTCAGAAGTATACAATATTGTCTTGAGAATTACCAGTCAGTGAGAGACTTCAATAACCTTATGTGTGTCCTTTGATTACAAGGAATTGCATGTATTTCCATACAATGACATTGTATTGTTTTTCTGAATAGTTACAAGAGGCCCAGTGTAGAACACCAGATAAGATCCAGGATGTGCTTGACAAAGGTTGCTCAGCAGTGAATGAGGTAAAAAATCTTCAGCAACAACATGAGCAGCTTACATCTAGAGTTGACAACCATCTCAAGAAACTTCACCCCCTAGCAGAGCGTTTGTCCAGTTTAGTAAGTCAAATTGCAGAGGTTGAGAGATTCCGAGCATATGTGAGCTGGATACAGAAGATTGAGTCTGTCAGGTAACTTTCAAGCTTTAATTAATTTTAATTTACATGTGAATAACAAGTATAGTACTCTTCATAACAAGATCTTCTTTATTACTTTTTGAACTGAAATGAGAAAGCTTCTTATCAATTGAGCACAATATCTTTTGTATAAGATAGATTGCTTCTAGTTGTAAAGATTAAGAGTTCAAATTTATTTCATGATTTAAGTAATTGGTGTTTTTGCCTTTCATAAAGTTGTCAGATTCACCAGTTTGTTGAAGCTGGGCAGTTGAACTGGGCGGTAGAACAGTTGTCAGTGCTGTCTGAGCTTGCACGGTTACTTAGTGAATCAGCGTGCTGTAATTTGACCAAGTTTGTGAAGGAAATGCAGTTACATTGGCAAAACATTCTTCTCAATAAGCTAGCAAGGTGAGTTAAACAAAAAGAACAAGTTGGTCCAAATGTGTACTAATCGCATTGAAAAATTGGAACCTGTCAATCAGCTATGTTCTGACACTTTGATGTTCGCTGATATTTAAATACTTAAAGTTTGAGTTGTTGAGTAAATTTGTGCCAAGTGAAGTAAAACTAGTTCAAGTTAGCAGGGAAGTTGAGTTAATCAAGTCTAGGTTAGCCGATAGTAAATGACTGGAAAAATAGGGTCAACTCAGGGGAAATTCAACCTTGTTCCCTATAAACACAATTAGAGTTAAACTGGGATCCTGTTGCCTACAGAACAAATGTTCATAATATAATTAAAAGTGATTATTACTTTTCTATTACAGTGAATTTGATGAAATCATGAAAGCTCTAAAATGGCCTTTCACTTCTCTCTCCACTGCACCTCCACTATCCACAACATCAGATGATTACAGCAGACTAGAAACTGTGTTTATACTTTTGCTCAAATTACAACAGTTGTATCCTTTTAAAGCATTATTTTAAGAAGTCCATGCAAATTCAAGTTTTTCTTAGTTAGAGGGTGGTAGCATTAATATAGCATACAGCTGCACAATTTTATAAACACTGATAACAGACAAGGAAATGATACATGTACATTAATTCCCTGCAGATGGATGCAGACCTCAAGTGACTTGAACAAGAAGGGGTCCACATTTTTCAGTATCACCACAAGTTAGGTTTTGATCAAAAGCAGTGATACTATTTGACTATATAATATTTATGTGAGATATTGATATTAGACATGTGTTCTGCTCACTCCTAAATAGAACTGATGTGATCGTCTGTTATTAACAATTAGATATTGGATAAAAATTAAACATGGTTATTATACTTGACTTGAACATTTTACCCTATTTTCCAGCAAAGAAATATCTACAGGAAATATTTCTCTCAGTAGAAACAAAAGTGACATCCTTCTGCCACTTGACTGGCTTTTGAAGCCTTTTAGGAAGAGATTTCGCTTTCACTTTTATGGGAATAAACAAACAAACAACCCTCAGAAGGTAGTGTATCAAAAAAATTAATTAAGAAATCTATCATGATAAAATGACTTAGAGACAAAATGGTCAAAAACCTAACCGTTAATTGTGGTACATACTGTTAAAGCCATAGCCATTTACTTATTACATGTAGTTACAAGGCTTTTCTTTTTATTGGTTTACTGCAGCTGTAATCATTACCATTACAATTTCCTCAAATGTGATTGGTGCATCACCTGCTTTATATTTCACTAGTCACTCTGTGCAGCTGTAATCGGACAGTGTAATCGGAGAGTTGGCTGAAGCAGCCAAGCACACTAAGTCCACTCAGCTAAATCCACCAATCACAGAATTGATCACAATAACCATAGCAACAACCCCTTACCCTTAAAAAAAATGGGAAATCTCCAAATTTTTTGCTTTAGACATTGTCCCCACTGGTGATATTTGTCCTAAATGTTTTTTTTTTCTATTTTAATTTGGAAATTGTAATGGTTATGATTAGTTGGTATCAGGACTTTGTGTCGCTCAATTCTGTCTGCAATCATACTGTGATTGACAAATTGGACTCCTGCTTCATGGTCGTCTGATTTTGTTAATCACTTGTATGATTACAGACCGAATTAGTCTCCACTCAGTCCTATTACCATTATTAATAACAGACTTGGGATTTTAAAAGAACAATCCAGTATCTCCCACTTACTAGGAAGGGGGAATATCAAAGCTTTCAAACAAGACTATTATCTGTTCATTAAGCTAATTAAATGTTATTCCATGTCAAACAATTACAGTCCTATAACTTTTTAAACGGGAAAGGATGACCCATTATGTGTATTTTTTTGTTCTTTTAGCCTGAGTGGTATTTTACACAAGTTTTAAATTGGATAAAGAATCATAGTGACTTTCTAGAGCACACAATTCAACCCATTCTTCAAAGGACAGAATATGATTTTGTTCATGCCAAGGTAATGTGCTCAAGAACCATGCATGTTAGCAATTCAGAAGTGTCTATATAGAACACCAATCATATCCGGGTGTTATTTCACAAAAACCTGTGTAATAACAAAAACCAATGACTACAAGAGGTAAAAGGTCAAGCAGATTGGGTAGATTTTTTGAACCAATTAGAGAGAAAATTGGAGAAAAAGCATTGTAAGTAATCTCAGAATACTCAGGACACTAAATTTAAAATTGTTGTTAGTTTTTAGTTTTACTTGATCAGTTAAAATGAAGCTCCTGTTTTTAACAGTCAAATGCCAAATTTTTAAGATGTGTGATTTTGTATAAAAATACCCAATGTAACTGGATAGTCTTGAAAAACAGACAAGTCTCTACTGATCCTCTATGATTTTCTTTAAATTATTTTCAGACTGAGTTTATATCTGGGCTATTAAACGTTGTGGTGGAGAAGTTGGAGCACAGCATCCAAAGTATAATTGATGATGATGATTCTTTTTCTCACTTTGTCGACGAATTGTTATTATTCAACAAAGAACTTCACATGGCTCACAGTTACAGCTCTACTGAACACAGCTGTTTGCACATCCTAACCACTGAAGCTTGCTTGCAAAGATGGGTAGAGTTAGAAAGAAAATGTTAGTATTGAGCTGAGCTTCAACTTTTAATTTTCTCTAAAAAACTTGGCCGGTGCTTACCCAATGAATGCTGAGGTATCACAGTTTCTTTCTTGATGTATTCCACAGATGCTGAGTCAAACATGAATTCAGTTTTGTCCTCCTCATCAGCATGGACACCAAAATACAAAGATGTTAGTGATGTAGATGACACACGAATTCCTGAGTGTGCAGAAGGATTTATGACCCTTCTCTCTGTTATAACAGGTACATGGCCAAGCTAAATATAATCCCAGTCATCTTCTGAATAATAATTGTATCATTGTGCTGTTCAGAGCTTACATGTATGGTTGGATCGGTGGACATATTTGGTGGTGTAAGCTGAAGCTGTTAAAAAATCAGCCATAAATTTGTAAATGCAAATGATTTGGTTGAATCAAAAGACTGGCATAAGAAAGAACCACGAAATTTTTCTATCTAAGCTTGACCTTTATGGTATATCTGGGAATTCATTAAAATGGTTTCAGTGGTATTTGGAGAACGGTACACAACAATGCTCAATAAGTCCCAGAACAAACTTAATACTCATTACCAGATGCAAATTATTTCAAAAATAGGTTAACTTATTATGGCGCCACATTGTAGAGTAGCCTTCCTTGGGAGGCTTAGCAGGTGGAATCCCGGCCCTGGGTCATTCAAACAAGAAATCAGCAAAGTTCTCAAAGGCATAACATTCATGGAAAGCAGCAATAAATTGTTACAAAAATAATTAATAGTTTTTAATCCTTTTGTACATAGCTGATGAATTGCCTGTGATTAAATAATAATGAAAGTATAATAATAATAATGATGTAATCTTGACCTTTGACTGTCACATTCCAGTTACAAAGTGAGTGAAGCATAGTTGGCATAACTAAAGTGTTGGCTTGTTTTTTTTCCATGCACAAAGAAAAGATTATAAAATCATGAAAATAATTCTCCTTACCATCTGACATACAATTCTTATGATGTTATTTCAGAGGATTTGTATTGAATCAACTTATTATCCTCTAATTGATAATTTTCTTTTTTTCTCATCACTTGTCCCCTTGGTATTGTATTGATATTATAAGAAAGAATTTTGACTTTGGTCACTCGTGGGAGTTAAAGGGTTAATCATCCATAAGTATCTCTGAATTTAGTTTTTGTTACTGAGACTGTGGTTGAGATGTACCTACTGACATTAAGACTAATATATAGATTTAGCCAAGCCTAAAAGCGGAGCTCGCATTTTTTTTCCCACACATCTCAAGGGCACAATGCCTTGCCCCGGCCAAGACTAGAACCTGGGTCATCCGACTCGGAGCCCAGTGCACTGACCACTGGACTACTGGATAAAACCATGGCGATGGCGTGCCCATGGTACAATTGACCACACATGTTAAAAGTAGCACCTTGTACAGTCGTACAGTTGTATGGTTGTACATCCAAATTTTTTCAGCTTGATGGGTTACTATTTTGTATAATTATGGGGCTACACTCTGCAAGCTCCGCTATTAAATATATGCATTTCTTAAATAAATAATACCAAATTGAGTTCACTCTCATTTATCTTGTCAACAGATCGATATAGAAAATTACCAAATGTGGAACATCAGGAGCAGTTTCTAGAAGTGCAGTTATTTCTTCTTAAGAGATTTATCTCCAGGTTGATGCTTGAGGCAGAAGAAACAAAATTTTCCCCTGCTGGACCTCATTACTGTTCAGTTCTCAATGCTGCTAATTATGTTAACCTAATACTTCAAGAGTGGAGTGAGCAAATGGTATTTTAATTTTCTTTTATCATTGTATGTGCATAGTGTATTTCAAGAGTGAAGTGGGCAAATGGTGTTTTAGATTTACTCTTATCAATGTATGTGCAGGGTGTATTTCATAGCAGCTTTTCTACTGTAAATACAAATTCTCTTAAACAGCTATCATTCATGGGGAACCTTTTAATTGTTTTTGTTTCCAGCTTTTCCTTAAACTCTGTGAACATCGCAATCCATCTATTGGCTATGTAAAGTCTGAAGATATGTTTGGCTCCGAAAACCATGTGGGAGATGATGAAGAACATGGGGTTCCTTATATGAAAAGTGTATTTGAAGAAGTAACACAATCTTTACAAGATTTAAAGGAACATATGATCAGTGATCTTGTAGAGCATGTTGTAAAAGGATTTAGGACACTGAGCAAACCCTACAAAAAAGAGAAGTAAGTCTGACACGTTGATTGAATGTTGTATAAACCATAAGCTCTATTTAAACAAATGTTTGAAGAAGAGGTGTACAACTTAGTGTCACTATCACAGCAGCAATGTTGTGGTAGCTTGCTGCCTTTGCATTAGACTCTGTGCATGCCCAAAGTCCATTGCAGAGGCAGCATGCAGACCATAACATTGCATGTGTGTGTTGTTTTTTGTTTACTTACATTGTAGTTGTAGTATGCATGTAGTGTTTGGTTGTGCCTGTTGCCATTGCAATCGACTGTAAGCATACACACAGCTTGATTGCTACAGCTAAACTGCATGAAGTACACATCTCTGGGAAATTATTGGAACAATAACCTTAGACAGATATCAAACCCACACCTTATAGTGTGGACTTAATGTACTAACTATTGAATTAACAACATGTTTCAGTTAATGAAATTTCCTTGCACAAGCACCTGTGTAAATACTTTTAAGAATGTTGCGAGTAAAATGATTAATTAATTTTAATTAATTAACATGTTTCAGTACATGAAATTTCCTTGCACAAGCACCTGTGTAAATAATTTTAAAATTGTTGCAAGTAAAATGATTAATTATGTCATAATATCTGAAGATGTGAATCTTTGAAGGTTTCATTGAAACTTAGTCAGTTCTTTTGATAGGGATGTTTCAGTATACTCTCAGCTTTAGATATTACAGGGTGCATTTTAGTTTATTGCCACTGTCTTCCTGGCCAAACAATTCTCAGATTTGTCAAAATAAATGAATGTTAGAGAATCTCTTCAATAACCTTTTACCTTTTTGTGCAATCTCAGAGTGAGGAGTATGTTAATTCACAGAGGATGCATCTAAACTTTTTCACTGTGATTTACTTTACAGGTGGCATGCATTTCCCTCTCCAAAGGATGTTATTCTCATGACCCTGTCATCATCAGCATGTGAGATGTTATTGTTCTTAAAGGGAAGGTTTCAAATTCTGCAGGAACAGCTGGCAAGCACTATTTTCAGTGCAATATGGAAAGATCTTGCAAAGGCTCTAAACAAGTTTATATATGATGAGGTAGGGAATTTTTTTGTACAATAGATTTTGGCAGAATCATAGGCAAACCATATATCAAACATTGAACCTTATAGGGTTTTTTTGTTCTAAAACTTTTCCCAAAAGCACTTTTGAAGTTAATCTTCTAGAGCAAGTTATGGTTTGTGCCCAGTGAATTTTATGGTATCTAGACAAGCTTAAGATAAAAGTATTTTTCCTTCTAAGAACTATCAGTGGTGTTTTACAAGGATTATATTTCCACAGATTATCCTGGAGTGTCATTTCAATGAAGGAGGTGCAGCGCAGTTACAGTTTGACCTCACAAAGAATCTTTTCACATTATTTTTGGAATACACACAGAAACCAGAGAATTTCTTTAAAGAGTAAGTTACTAAAAGCATGGCCCTCTTAATTGAATTACTGACATTAAGCAACTGCTTGCAGTTAAAGCAAAGTAATTCAGCATTGATTAAATACTAGAGCTGATTACAGTGTGGACAGGTGATTTCAAAAGGTGGCACATGATACCCAGGAGCCTGTCTACTTAAGGGTAACTTGTAATCACAAGATACCATATTCATGTTGGGATTTCAAACTCTTTGCTTTGCTTTAGAACAAACTTTCTACTTCTTGAGTAATAATTATTGGATTTTAGCATTTGTCAGCTTGGTTTTATTTGACTCAGCCCTGGGAAATAGAAGCATCAGGCCTCATGGTTTGAGAATGAACTTGAAGAGTTACTTCATCAGTCACTTCTGGCAATTTATTTTAGTGGACACTTTTAAAATGGTTGACTACTTTACTTATCCAGGGTCAAGGAAGCCTGTATCTTGTTAAATCTCTTACCTGGATCTGCAGTATTGCTGAGGGATTTGCTCAAGTCTTCAGGGAGTGACAACAGTGAAGAAGGCATTTGTCCAGCAAGTGCTGCATTACAAGACATTGGGGTGTATAGATTAACGTCAGCAGATGCACTGAAAATTATCAACCTTAGAGTGCATTTGCCAAGTGTATAACACTTGGCTTTCAAACATATTCAGAGGAAATTTGTCTTATTTGAAAATATCCATACCAAGAGATATCTCTTGCTCCATATCCATTTC